AACTTCAATGAGAGTCCATTTATTTCTGTAGTATTTTAATAATTTAATAAAAGTATTCAAAACTCTTTATAAAGTTTAAAACATTATTTTGCTTTGTGGTCAGTTTGAAAAAAATTATCCAATTTTGTCGGTGCAGAAAGTAATCTTAAAACTAGGCGAGAAGCTAAAATATCTTATCTGTTGTATATTTTCTAAAAATATGTTGTTATTATTATTATTTTTGCACATAAAACTACGAATTAATTTGTTTTCTTTCGCTTAAAATGTGTTAAATTACCCCCAGGGGTGTTAGCATTAGAATATCCTTAAGTTAGAAAACCGTAATTACCTTCATTAACTTATAAAACTTTTTTTTTACGTGAGTAATAGCATCCGTAAAGTAATATTTAAGTAATATCTTTAAGTGAACGATAGATATTAGAAGTTACTACGGTAAAGCATTCATGAAAGGTACTAAGAAGATCATTTCGCTCAATTACGTTGCCTTTTCTATTACAAATTGTAACATTGCAAGACAAAATAACATCATGACTCGCATTACTATGATCAATTGATAAGCATTTTCTAGTAGTACGAGTCCCACTAAGTTATAATAATACAAAGCTTTTCCAACCTAAAACATTGAAAACATTTTCATGGATGTTGTTATATTTCAACACAATTAGCTAAGTGTCTCTTAAGTATTGTTTACCTTTTTTCACTCCCAAGTTCATAAATAAACAACTCCTTTTCGTACCAGGCTTACGCTTGGATATATATAATGGGAGGTGTGTGTGTGAAGACAACTTAATATTTCATTTCTTATCTGAAACTTGAAACTGGTAAAGATTAAAAGGGAATACGTTTCCTCATAATAGTATGAAATTTCCAAATTTGTATGAGGACATACATATGTGCCCGATGACAGTGAAAGTTTAATATTTATTCTGTAGTATAATACCAGACATTGTTGCTATGTGATATTTAAAACATGTGGTATAGTTTGAAAGTTCGCAAGATATAACACAGGTATTCCGTAAGCGTATTTTACATCTTAGACAACCTATTTACTTTGATGGAAAGATAAGTAAAATAATCACTTACTTGCGGACATATTTTACAATGATATTTCCGTTCATTGACGTTGGAAGCAGCACTAGCTGGGAAACTCTTTACTACTGTGTTGATTGGCTGAGGCATGACGTCGGGGCAGTTGCTACTGGTAGTAATACTGCTGGTGTTAATGCAGTTGTTATGGCTACCATACATATTATGCAGCTTGTAAGGAGGCTCCATCTTTGACGATCTTGCCTCTTCCATTGAACAATCAGGACCTGAAAATACTAATGAAAGTAAAATATTATTTTATTGGTCACTCCTTTCTGAAGCTTTCTAAACGTTAAAAAGAACGTGTCAGTTTTTGTATCAGCTAAAATTGAAAGCGTCTCAATACGAGATTTTCTTCTACTATTTTTATACCAGATAATTAGAGACTTCTCTACCAGTTGTCGTGCTATACGAGAGAGAGAAAGAAACAATTAACATGCGCATCATTAGAAACAGCTGTGAGACTTTACTTCTGCGTTCTTATGATACATTATTTTATTTCTCCTTTGGGCGTGTTTCGAAACTTCCGATATTGTTAAGGTTCTAGTGCAAAGGAGTCATATAAAACTTTGTATTTTATATGCTTTAATGACGTATGTGTGTAATGAAGAACTAGCGTACGTTAATTCGTTATTCTATTACCACAGGCCTGCGAATTTAAACTTCATAAAAGTTGTTTTGGTTTTAATAACGGATTTTCCATAATTCAGCTACACAGATTTCGATAATAATATTCATTTGTTTCTATAATGTAAGAATTATGTTTGTTAACGAAAATACAAACAAACTGAAGAAAGGGAAGAACATTGATGTCAAACGAATATGCATTCTCATTCATCCTGAATTGTGTGTGTGTGTGTAATATCTACGTCTTTAGTCTCAAAACTACGTATTGTGGTCTTTTTTTATGTACTGCGTTAAGACGTTTTGTGAAAAATCTGTACGTGACGGAGAAAAATGGATATCGTTTTCGGATTCAGCGTACAGGAATTACTGTAGAACATGTAAAACTTTCAAGACAATAAAACCATCGCAGGCCTGTGTAATTTCTCTGTGGAATAAAAGCATAAACAGTTGTAGTCTGTCGAAATACTGTACTTGTTTTCTGTCTTAGAAAATATTCGTTAGTACAATCATCTTTTCCCATTAAAACTTATTTAAAAAAAGGAGGGATAAAAGAGAGAGATTGTGTTTCGGTATATTTCGAGAGCATTACAGCAATCTGAAAGAAAATTCAATCTATGTATAATTCTGAAAAGAAAAAGAGCAAGATGTAATTACATTTTAATGAGTAAACTGCGTTTATTGTGGTCGTCAAGGCTTCTTTTGACAACTGTGTTATCAAAAGTGTATGTATTTTATTCCTGGATACGTGTATTTAATAAACACCTGACATACATGGTTATTTATACTGTTGATATTACCCTGTTGAAAATAACTTGTAAATAACACAGTATAACAGTTACTAGTATGTCTGATTGTACTCCAGCAAATTACAAGTTTCAATGATACAGAAAGCATAAAAGCTTATTGTTTATGGATTCTCTGCTTCTAGCGCCCTTTAGCAAGGGTTAGGGTTAACTAAGTACCTTGCTGAGGTGAAATAAATATATTAAATGACTAAACAACAGTATCTATAGAAACAGTCCAAGATAAAATGATACACGTTTTTCTTTACTCAAAGATTACTTTGTGGTGTTCATTTAGACAAGTCTGTTGACACACAGCTTGAGCAAGATGTGAGCGATCAAGAATTGAGTTAAACGCTGGCTAGATGTAGTAACCAGATTTCTAGAGAAACATTAAAGGATTTTGTTATACGATATACTTCTCCTATTTATGATTTTTAAGTGTTAAAGGAGATACTAATTTCTCTATATTTGAATTTCTTGATTCTGATGTTGCCGTGCCCCGGTGGGACAGCGGTAAGTTTAAGAATTTATAATGTTAAATCCGGGGTTCGATTTCCCTAGTTGGACACAGCAGTTAGCCCATTGTGGCTTTGCTCTCAAACTGATGCTGCCTGGTAGCTGACGCACCTTTATAGTATAAGCTTATGAATTGTGAAGTCGATTAAATCTAATAACGACTCATAAAAGATTTACTGAAGTTCACCAGCTGCTTTAATTAAAAGTCAGTATGAGGAATACCTCATTAAAGCTTTATCATAAGAAATGTCGGAGCAAATGATAAAAATAAAGTACAAGAAAAGCTCCATTTTCCTTTGAAATGATAGGACAGTATAATCAGTTATAAATGTTAAGGTTTTAGCTGCCTCGTGTAAATATGGTTCCAATGTTGGAAAATCATCGATACAAATATATGAAGCTACAGATAGCATCACTCCTCGGATTCCAATGATTCCCCCTAGCAACAGCTTATGGCAGTAGTTTAGTTTACATAATCGAACTCCATCCATTGAAATACTTACTAAAAGATTTAGTTATTGGAGTAAACGCTCGGGACTCAGCATCTACTTAATACTTCACTATGACAATAACTGCCAACATGATACTTGAAACAACCTGCACTCGTCTTAGATGTGGTTTCAACTTCCTCTATACTTTTATTGTACTGCTACTGACTACATTGGGCTTTGATGATTTTCTACCCTCACTAAAACTGAGTTATGCTTGCCTCATCTACATTTCAATCACTTTCAGCCCAAAATGTTCTCATAAGCTACACTCACTAAAATTGAGTTATACCCGCCTATCTACCTTTCAACCACTTTCAGCCCAAAATGTTCCCATAAAAAATTGAAACAAGCAGTGGGTAATACTAAGTAAAGCAACTGTGATAGTTTCCTGTTTATAGAAGTCGGATGTTTTTTACTATGTATAATAGTAAACTGGCCATCTCAATTTTGCATACTTATGTAGATTTTCACTTTTTTTTTAGGTAAGAAAGAAGAGTAACGAGTACGATTATCTCCCTGTATTACAGGATTATGCAGACATACATTTCCGTTGCCGAAAATTCATACCATACAGTTCTCTGTTGATTGGCAGTTATTTTTAACGCCTGACTCCGATCATTAACAGAAACATCATCGGAGCAACCTGTACTGAGCCCGTATTGTCGTGAAACAGGTTATACAAAGATGTACATGATCGTATTAGCTTGCTCATTTAATATTTTGCATCTTAATAATCTAATTTTTCTGTATATACCTATCATTGATCCAGTTTACAAAAAGTAACAACAAAAAACAACGTGATGATGTTGACTGGATTAAAAACTTGTATGAAATGCAGGTAGAAAACAATAGGTTAGACCTCCCCCTATTTTGCTCATGTAGAGAAATAAATTAGTTCTTGCTTGCATATGTTTAGCAGTTAACATATAATTTCACATCACTTTTTATGGGCATATTTTCAACACATACAAAAAATCGTCTACAAAGTAACTAAGACTAATATAATTTTGTTTTTAAAAATATTTTTCTATCTATTAAAGCTGAAGTCCTCCAGTGGCACAGCGGTATGTATGCGGCTTACAACGCTAAAAACCGGGTTTCGATGCCCGTGGCGGGCAGAGCACAGATAGTCCATTGTGTAGCTTTGTGCTTAACTTCAAACAACAACATTAAAGCTGAATGGATATTATGCAAATAAAGCAAGTGGCAAAAAGACTGACAAATCAGGTACAGTGACCTTTTCTTCATAACACAAGGTGCAGTAATAATTTAATTCAATTAAGTTATCGACAGCTTTTTAGCATTGTTAAACGAATAACTTTTCAATACAAGATCAACTTATGCCCTCATCATTCTTTAACTGAGGACGTCAGACAGTTGGTTTCGTAACGCGACATTGTTATTCTAGATACAATACTCATGCCCCTTAGCTTATTCTTCTAGGTTCAACACCCTTGCACCTTACCCTACTCTTCTAGGTACAACGCTCATGGACTTTACCTCACACTTCTAGATACAACACTCATACACGTTACCTTACTCTTCTAGGTACAACGCTCATGGACTTTACCTCACACTTCTAGATACAACACTCATACACGTTACCTTACTCTTCTAGGTACAACGCTCATGGACTTTATCTCACACTTCTAGATACAACACTCATACACATTACCTTACTGTTTGAGATACAACAATCATGCACATTACCTTACTGTTTGAGATACAACACTCGTGCATATTACCTTACTGTTTGAGATACAACAATCATGCACATTACCTTACTGTTTGAGATACAACACTCATACACGTTACCTTACTGTTTGAGATACAACAATCATGCACATTACCTTACTGTTTGAGATACAACAATCATACACGTTACCTTACTGTTTGAGATACAACACTCATACACGTTACCTTACTGTTTGAGATACAACAATTATGCACATTACCTTACTGTTTGAGATACAACACTCGTGCACCTTACCTTACTGTTTGAAATACAACACTTATGCACCTTTAAATGCTCAACAATTATCAGGATTATTTTCTGCTTTTTTTCTTTTCAAGCATGGAATCTTACTGAGGGTGGGGGTATTAGAGAGAGAAAAGAAATGAAACAGCACATCTTCTCGTCTATCTTGTTTGAAGAACTTATCTTAGCACTTACCGTACTGTTGAGAGTTGTTGTTAAAATGAACAACCTGTATGGTAAGCTGAATGTATATTAGACGACATATGTATTCCGATTTGTGTACGCCTTTAATACGAGATCGATACACAGTTGATGGTGTTTTTCAGGTTTGTAGAATTTATTGTGCATATTAACCAGATGAAACTCATCTCGCTTAATTGACGAGATAAAAAAATCTTTTTTTCAGTATAATCGCAACTACTTGGAAAAAAAAATCGTCGATTTTTTGTGGTTATAACTACATGCAGGATGTTCATATTCCAAACTTTAGAATTGCAACCTCTTATTGTTTGTTTAAAAGTAACTTTAAGTTTAGTAGAGTACTTACTATACATACTAAAACATTATATGAACAATAAAAGGCTGTGTATACAAGTATGGTGTTTTCAGTGCACTAGTAACTAATTCAGTGCAATAATAGCAACCGAAAGAAGGAGGAGAAACGGCCGAAAATGGTATGTGGAATTATCCGAGTTTCTGACTGACTGAGTAAAAGAAAGAGACAAAGATAGAGGAGAAACGGCCGAAAATGGTATGTGGAATTATCCGAGTTTCTGACTGACTGAGTTAAAGAAAGAGACAAAGAAGGAGGAGAAACGGCCGAAAATGGTATGTGGAAT